ACAAAGGTCCCCAGGAAGACACTTGTAGAATGGAACCACTGACTGCCGCAGGCCTGTTTCCTGGCATTTTGGCTAGCCCGGTTTGTCTGGGAGCAGGTGACACTCCGATCGTGGTGGGGACTTTGTGCAGCCTCGCTGTAGCTGAGCCGGGAGTCTGTACCCTGATGGGGTGACTATGTGTCGGGGGGGCCTCAGGGTCAGGCGAGGAGAGGCCAGGCTGGGATGGGAGCCGCACTGCCACCTGCTCTGGGGCTAGGCTGGAGGTGGTTCAGGGGGGAGGGCTCCAGCCAGAGCACGGTGCTGTACTGTCAGGTTTCAACCTGAGAAGCCCCCAAATGTCTGGGGACAAGGGCAAATCAGGTGACCTTGGCAGGAGCCTCACATATTTGGGGTTATTTACACACCTGAAATCTAGATGGATTAGATTAGGTAACGGATTATGTCCCACTAGATCTATAAACAATGAAACCAGTGTTAGTGCCAGATCCCTGGCTGGAGAGTTCACATTTGGGATGCCAAATTCTTTTTTTCCCCAAAGACTTTGTTTTGATAAGCTTCTTTCATTTTTTTTTTAAATTTTATTATTTTATTTTTTTTTGGAGAGGTTTTCACTATAACGCGTGTGCGCTCGCCAGACAGACAGAGACATAGAGACAGAAAGCAAGAAATCACCCCCCAGGGGGGATGGTCACAGCTTCTTTCTTTTTTTCTTTTTCTTTTATTATTTTATTTTTTTAGAGAGGTTTTCACTATAAGGCGTGTGCACTTGCCAGACAGACAGAGACATAGAGACAGAAAGCAAGAAATCACCCCCCAGGGGGGATGGTCACACTGCAATCCCTTCTCCTCCATTCTCCTCTCGGGATCTTGGGCACGCACACACGCCCGGTGTGAGTTTAAGCCACCGGGTCCAGGACTTGAACCGCGGTCGACTACGTGGGAGTCCAGCGACATAGCCATTACGCTAACTGCTGTTTTCTATTTCTTCTTTAAGTAAGAGAACAGAGACAGATAGACAGCACCCCCCAACAGGGCCTTGGTACTGCCAACCCACCCCCAGCCTCAGCCTGTCCTGGATCAGGGTGTATGAAGGGAGGGCTCGGGACCCGGGCAGCCCACCTTTCCCTGTGGGTCAGACTCGCAGCATCACCCCTTACCACTGGGCTGCCGTCCAGCCCCTGGATGGCAGACTCTGACAGCCCTTCGTTTTAGCGTCACTCGCCACCTAGCTGCAGGATCCTCAGCCACCCCACCATGTATGACAATCACCTGTGGGACTTTTTAAAGACAGAGAGAACTGGGTGTGCCCTCCAAGATTTGGGTTCACTTCTTCTTGGCCGAAGCCCACACGTGCAGTTTGTAAAGAGCTCCCCAGGTGGGGCACTACCGCATAATACCAGAGCCATGGAAGAAGGCTGGGACTCAGATCCGGGGTGGACCAGAGCAGGAAGGCTCCCCCGTGATCCTGGCTGCATGGAGGCTGGGGTGTTCATGACATGACATGACCGGATTGGGGGTCCCTGTCTGTCGTGAAATAATGAAATGACAGCTCCTCAGCTGGTTCCGAGGGTTAGCCAGGCCTGAGAACCACTAGTGCTAGTGGTTGCTTGAACTGCTGTGGTGACAGCCACCTGACTATGTGGTATTGGACAGATTCTCTTTTTCAAGAACTAAAGATCAGAATAACAAACTCTGGCTTAGAAGTGAGTGGGGAGCAGGTCCAGTATCTCATATTCATCTCCTTGTGACTTATTCTACTGCCAGAATGTTCTGGAGCCAGTAGAAATGTCAAAGAAATTTGTGTCCGCCATGAATAGCAGATGACTGCAGCTGGGACAAAGCTGGTGAGTGGTCACCGTGGTGGGCTAGAATCCAGTCAGAAATTCGGAATCACCAATTTATTTTTTATTTTTTATTTTTTTCCTGCAGCTTCTTGTTGCTCCCAGTTTGAGGCTTGATGTCACTGGATTTTGAATGACATAAATGTCTGTTACACTAGAGAAATAAGTGCATTTTTGCTTAAAGAAAAGGCTCTGTGCCTCCCAGTGGTGCAGTGGTAAAACGTGAGGCTCTATGAGACCGACCCACAAAGAAAGTTCCAGGTTCATGTCCTGAGGCCTCCCTGTACCACGAATATGCACGTACTCGTGATCTAGGCTAGCTAAGGCAGGAATGGTTGGCGATGTTGAGACTGTCAAGGATGCTGTGTCTTTCTGTCTCTCTTGCTCATGGAAAAAAACAAATAAGTAAACTTTAAAAAAAGAAAAAAAAAAAGAAAAAAAGAAACCCTCCAAAAAACTAAAAAGAAGGAGCATTCCTGTGGTCAGGCCTTGGAATTCATCATGCCCCAGAGGAAACCCGCATGATAGGCACACCATCAGTACCTACCTGCAAGGTCATTTGGGGCAGCAGACCTTTTGAAGAGGTTTTTTGCTATAGGGCACGAAGCACTCACCAGCAAGACAGAGAGAGGCAGAGAGACAGAAAGCGAGAAGTCACACCCCACCCCACCCCGGGGGAATGGTCACGCCGCAATTCCTTCTCCTCCATTCTCCTCTCGGGATCTTGGGCACACACACACATGCACCTGGCGTGAGTTTATTTAAGCCACTGGGTCTGGGACTCGAACCGTAATCGACTACATGGGAGTTCAGTGACGTAGCCGTTATGCCAATTGCAAGCCCCAGCCCCTCCTAATTTTCAAAAACAACTTTTTAAATACAATTCATCCACTCAAGTGTGTAGTTCGGTAGGTTTTAGTTTATGTGGCTGGGCAACCACCACCAAGTCAATGTTAGAACAGTTTCACATGGAACCAGCAGTTAAGTGTAATGGCTATGTCGCTGGACTCCCATGTAGTCGACCACGGTTCGCGTCCCGGACGCGGTGGCTTAAAACTCACACCAGGCACGTGTGTATATGTGTCCAAGATCCCGAGAGAATGGAGGAGAAGGGATTGCGGCGTGGCCATCCCCCCTGGGGTGTGATTTCTTGCTTTCTGTCTCTCTGTCTCTCTCTGTCTGTCTGATGAGCGCACACGCTCTATCGCAAAAACCTCTCCAAAAAAAAAAGAACAGTTTCATGTGGGGTGATAACCTCCACTTCCCAGCCCAAAGCTAGGTCCATTCATTGATCTAGAGATTTGCTGCTCTGGACTTTCATATTAATGGACTCATATAACTTGATGTCTTTCGTGACTGACTTCTTTCATGCAGCATATTTCAAGGCACACTGGGTTGTAGCATGTGTCAGTATTTTATTCCTTTTTATCTATTTTATGAATACACCATATTTGTTTATCCATTCATCAGTTGATCAACATTATATTTCCTCTTATTGGTTATCATGAAAAACGTCGCAGTAAGCATTTGTGTATGGATTTTTGTGTGGTCATGTTTTCATTTCTTTTGGATATATGCCCAAGAGTAGATGGGTCAGATGGTAATTCTATGTTTAATTATTTGAGGAACTATTGTTTGTTTGAATTTTTTTTTAAGTTTATACATTTCCTTTCTTTCAGGAGAGAGTGTTTGCATAAGAAAGAGAGCATATGCAAGACCCTGGCAGAGTCTAATCATGCAGTGTCCCCCTTTCCCTAGTTCTTCAGCCAGGCAGGATCTCAGGTGTGCACCTAGTATATTTCAGGTCAACTCAGAATCCGAACTCACAGTCAGCCATGTGGTTTCCAGCATTTGTAGATCAGTAAGTTACCCACTGTGGGTGGGCCCAGACTGTTTTTCCAAAGTAGCTGTACCATTTTACATTTCTACCAGCAGTGTGTGAAGGTTCCAATGTCTCTGTATCTTGGCCAACATTTCTTCCCCATCACCTTTTAAACATTATAGCCATTAAAAAAAATTATAGACATGCTAGTAGGTATTGAATGTGGTTTGAATTTGTGTTTCCGTGATCACTAATGATGTCAAGCATCTTTTCATGTTTTTCTTGGCCATTTGTATATATCTTCTTTGGAGAGGTATCTATTCAAACCCTTTGTTAATTTTAATTTAGATGCTTTATATTTGATGGTTCAGTCAACGGCTCTTTATGTATTGTGGATGAAAGTTCTTTATCAGATATAGATTTGCACATATTTTCTCCCATTCTTTGGGTTGTTACCTTACTTTCTTTCTTTTATTTATTTATTGGAGAGGTTTTTTTTTTTTTTTTTTTTTTTTTGCTATAGGATGCGTGCGCTCGCCAGACAGACAGAGAGACAGAAAGCGAGAAATCACCCCCCAGGGGGGATGGTCATGCCACAATCCCTTCTCCTCCATTCTCCTCTAGGGATCTTGGGCACGCACGCACATGCGCCCGGTGTGAGCTTAAGCCACTGGGTCCGGGACATGAACCACGGTCGACTACGTGGGAGTCCAGTGACATAGCCATTACACTAACTGCTGGTTCCCTTTCTTTACTTTCTTGATGGTATCATTTGGAGGAGCACAAGGTTTTTTAATTTAAAAAAATTCCAAGTTATCTATTTAGGGAGGGTTGGGCTTTTGGTATCATTTCTAAGAATCCTTTGCCACATCCAAGGCATTTCTTTTAAGAGTTTTCTTGTTTCACTTCTTACATTTAGGTCTTTGATCCATTTTGAGTAAATTTTTGTTTATGATTATGAGGTAAGTATTTAACTTTATTCTTATACTTATGGCCAGCCAGTTGTCCCAGCACCATTTGCTGAAAAGATTATTCTTGCCTTATTAAATGGTCTTGGTGTTCTTGTGAAAGATCAGTTGATATGAATGTATGAATTTATCACTTTGTGATAAATCCTATTCTACTGGTCTATCTTTGTATAAATACCACACTGTTTGATTATCATTGGTTTGCAGTAAATCTTGCAATAAATAAATATGTGCTCTCTCCAACTTTATTCTTCATATTCAAGATCATTTTGATTATTCTGGCTTCCTTGAAATTCCATTGGAAATTTAGCATTAGCTTCTTAGTTTCTACAAAGAAGTCAGCTGCGATTCTGGTAGAGATTTCACTGAGTGCTCACTTCGGCAGCACATATACTAAAACTGGATGAATACAGAGTAGGTTGCATGGCCCCAGTGCAAGGATGACATGCAAATTCATGAAGCGTTCCATATTTTGAAGTATTAACACACAGAAAGGAAGCAATAAAAGGCAACTAAGACAATAGCTGACTTAAAGGTCAGGACAGATCTGATAATATTGATAATAACATTGCATGTGAATGGATTAAATTCTCCAATCAAGAGACACAGACTGGATGAATGGATAAAAAAACAGAAGCCCTCTATCTGTTGCCTACAGGAAACCCAGCTCATGGACAAAGACACACATAGACTGAAAGTGAAGGATTTTAAAAAAGGTCTTCCATGCAAATGGGAACCAAAAAAGAGCTGGAGTTGTGATACTAACTTCTAACAAAATAGACTTTAAAACAAAATCTGTTCGAACAGACAAAGAAGGGCATTATATTGTAGTAAAAGGATCAAAGATCAAGAAGATATAACACTTATAAATATCTATACACCTAACACAGGAGCACCCAAATATGTGAAGGAAAGACTGTTAGATCTAAAGGGGGAGATAGACTGCAATACACTAATTGTTGGAGAACTCAACACTGCAATATCCCCTCTGGACAGATCATCTAGACGAAAAATAGATAAAGAGATAAAGGATCTAAATGATATCATAAATCAAATTAACTTAATAGACATCTATAAAACTTTCCATCCAAAAACCGCAAGAGACTTTTTTCTCACCCCCACATGGAATCTTTTCAAATATCAACCAAATCATAGGGCACAAAGCAAGCCTCTACAGATTCAAAGGCATAGAAACTATATCCAGCATCTTCTCTGACCATGATGGAATTAAACTTGAGTTTAATTTCAAGAGAAATCCTCAAAAATACTCAAATACATGGAAACTAAATAACCTACTCCTGAAAGACTCCACAACTACTGAAGAAATAAAGACTGAAATCAAAAGATTCATAGAAGCCAATGGTAATGAAAAAACAGGGTT